TAATTTTCTCTTAAGAGTAACCATTGAGTGTGAGTGTTTGGGAGAGATTGTGATAGTGAAGTGTGAGAGATCAAGTGGGGGGAGTTGTGAGGGATTCATAAGGTTGCCCAAAGCTAGAATCTCTTTGACCTCTTCACATTTCTACCCATTTCCTTTCGATATTTTTGAGAGATCTTCAACATTGTGTCTATGTACTCTGCCTTCATCAGGAAGGTGAAAAAGGATGAAAGTTCTCTTCCATCACCAAGAGGGTGAGAAAGGACGAAGGTTCTTAATCTTCACCAGTAGGGCGAAAATTGACGTCGACACTCTATCACACTGGGTTGGTGTAAGAGAGTTTGTAAGGGCTTCTTCACCTTGCTTTTGGGGCAAAAGGAGAGCCACTTTGATTTAGTGCAATACCTAGAGAAGAGTCTCCAAGGAGTGGACGTAGGTCTAATTTAGACCGAACCACTATAAATTTGATGTTTTTTTGTTCACTTTTATTTTATATATATATTTTTTTGTAATTTAAAATTTTGTGGTTGAAACATCTTTTGAGATAATCATATCTAGACAACTACATACTCAAGAATCATTACTAAAATTTTTTATAAACAATTTTTGAAAATCCAATAATTTTTTTTTAAATTACCAATTCATCCTCCTCTTATTTAGCCTTAGAACAGTTCAATAAGATCTAACAACCTACACAAACTTTCAAGAGGGACTATTATCTACCCATTGAGATTAGAGGGACTATAGTCGATGGGAGGTCAAAAGGACCATATATTACAATCCGACCTAATATGACCTAATATCACATATATTATATCGTATAGACTGATCCCAAGATCTAGTTAGAGAAGCACAAAATTAAAATTTCTAATTTAATTAAATCATGGAACCACTATTCAATAAAAATGAAGTTGAAGAATAATGAATCTCAAAATTATTGTCAATTTATCATACAAATATATATATATGAGGTATATACAATATTGCTTGGCCAATAAATAACACAACACAATAAAAGTCAAGCCTACAAAAGCTAAAACTAATAAAAGTATACATACAATACAAATCAAAGTATGTTATTTAAAACTACTCAGCTTGCTCCTTAACCTTTTCTTAGCTTGAAAATAAAAGTAAAAACAGGAGTGAGCTAACACAGCTCGGTAGGCTATCATAATCAAAAATTGAAATCAATGACTGAAATCAAAAGAATTGAAAATATTATGTTATAATAATAAATTAAAGTACTATAAAAAAGTTAAAATTGAAACATACATTGATGCTGAATGCATTTAATTAACCAATGAATTGTACTGAAAATGAATATAAAAAATATCTTATAGACATTTTTAGAATAGCCCTTTGGCTACAACATCTTAACACATGTCATATTTGAATCCCACCTTAATCGCCCCTTAATCGCCCACTAGCATTAGCATAACGGAATCCCACCTTGATCGCCCATTAGCATTAGCATAATATCGCATCAAATCATATCACAGCACATCATATTTATTTCATATTTTTTGTTTCTTTTCATTAAATAAAGTATAATTGGACTAAATTTAAAAGCTGCCAAAATACATTAATAGTAGACAATAGAAAATCCTATCAAGCAGAAATTCATACTTTCAGAAATTAATCAAATTACTAAAGATTATATATAACAATATTTTGGAGCTTTAATTAAAAAAAATATCTATTTTTAGATGTTAAAATAAAATTTTGAATTGGTAGAAATCATTATTTTTTCAAAGTTTAAGGAAAGCAATTTCCAGAATGTACTCAAAATATTCATATTCTCAATTTCTATAACATATAAAAAGTTACATGGTGAAAGTTTTACTAAAATAAAGTTATCCTTATTTATCATAAATAATAAATAAATTTGATAAAAAAAATATCAAAACTACTAAATTATTCAAAATTGAAATAGGCAAAACATAACCTTCCTTGAGACGAATAAAATTTTTAATTAGGCTAACGACCAAAAATGACTCTATGATCCCTAAATCATAGCTTTTCTTCTTTTCCTATTTTATGTCACTATTAAAGGAAATAAAAAATTAAAAAAGAAATTTTAATAATTATGTATAATGGTTAAAGATATTTATAATATAGTAATATAAGACTATAAAGGTAATTATGGTATTTATTTAGGTTTTACAACAAAATTCATATAAATATTTTTATATCTTCAAATTTGGGAGATAGAGGTCAGAAGAATCGTAGTTGGGTCACTATGGTCAGAGGGACTATAGTTTAATGATAGATGTCGGTGGGACCATAATTGGGAGATGGATGTTGATGTGGCTGTAATCGAGAAATGATGATCAAAGGGGCCATAGTTAGGCAACTAGGTCTTAAAAGCCATCATCGATGGATAAAAGCCATAAGGATCATAATCAGATAATAGTGGCTTGAGGATTATGTTGAAACTCGAGCTTATAAGTTTATGTTTTTGATGATAATAAATATTATGGCTCATATCTTATTGTCTACTTATTTTTGCAATATATTTTTGTTTGTGTGTGTACTAACTTTTCAAGAATACCATACACCATCCAATAAAGATTCAAGGCTCAAGATTGGCTAAAATAGGTTATGTTATAATAATTTTTGTAATATTCATTAATATATTTTTTATTTCTTGAGTCAAATCCTATAAGGGTGTATACTTGCATGGTGACCATGCACACACATACTTAGGGGGAGTGAGATTGAGTCAAAACTAGAAGTTTAAGTTTTGAACTAATCGTACTAGACGATTTATAATGTTTAGGATGATCAACTCATTGAACTGATCATACTGGATGATTTCGATCATCTAGGACAATTCATTATGATCTTAGAAAATAGCCGCCAATGATAATTTAGATAAGGATTCTAGATTTATATTTTGTTCTAATCATCCCAAATGATCTGGATCATCCTGGATGATCAATAACAATCATGCTTAAATTGATCATGTGATTAGGGGACTAATTATGGTTAAACTGTTCAATCAAATTGTCCTAGACGATGTGTATATCATACTAGATGATATTTGTCGACATATTTAATTTTCCTAAATCGCCCAAGATGAAATACCATAATTTCCTTCTAATCCTCCAGGACGATCCACAATATTATTATGGATGGTCTGTACAAATTTAAACTGATTGTTCAAGACTATCTTGTTATCGTCTAGGACTATTAGGTCAAATTATGCACATCATACTAGACGATCCTATGATCGTTCATGATGATATTTGGTGCTGAAATTGAGTTTGTAGGATTTTATGAAGCCCTCTTTTTAAGCACATCGTAAGGGACGATCCTGCGATCGTCCTGGATGATCTTTGCCTCCAAGATTAATTTTTAGAGTTTTTTAAAGCCCTGTATTTAATATTTATCAAGGTACTTGGTCAATGTCTTTGACAACCATTATGTATTCGTTCTTCTGGAGAAACTTGAAGAGAGAACTTGAAAGGGATAGATGAAAGGGTGGAGTTTGAGAGGGAGAAGATTCTTAGAGGGGGTTTCAAGGGAGTGTGGAGGGGGTTTCACATGCTTGCTCCGACAAGCTTGCACCTTAGTACCATCGAATTCAAGGTTTGTCTTGAGGGAAGTTTTGGGAATAAGAAGATATCTTTGGTGTCAAAGGATCAAACTACTTTGCTGCACCGGGGAAGGTGAAAGTGATTTTGTAAGGGCTTCTCCGCCTAGCTGTAGGGGCTGAAGGAGAACCACTAAAAGTTTAGTGCAATACACTGAAGGTGCCTCCGAGGAGTTGATGTAGGTCATGTTTGACTGAAACACTATAAATATGGTGTAGTCTTTCTGATTATTTTTTGTACTTTATATTTTAACTCGATTAACTGCTTGGATGAAATCTCTGATTAATCTTTTTATTATTGATTAATTTATTTATGTTGCAAGATATAAAAATAATTTTCTTTTTGTTAAAGAAGTTTTTAAATATTTAATTCATCCCCCTCTTGATTAGCATCAGGACTAATTGATAAAGGCTTAACATCATAACGAACTTTCAGATTTAGTCAACTAGCAACTAATATCAGAAAGACCCTGGTCAAGTCGTGGTGGTTCGAGGACCATAGTCGAGCAATGGTGGCTCAAGGACAATAGTCCATTAGACAACTCATATTGATTCCCTCGATTATATATCATTTATTCAGCGTTGATATGCCTCAATGATGTTGTAATTAAATAATTTTAGGCTCGTTGGATTCTTCTCATCAAGCTGCTCGATTTGACTATAAACTTTCTATATTTGAATATTATTTGATTATTCAATTAATATCTTGAAATTTCCAAATATACTAGAGTTATGATGGTAATTCCTTTTATTTCCAACTCATGCCTCAAGCTCTCTCCTCGTTTTGATTACAAATCTTAGATTTGTTAAGATTTAAATTTATTTAAAAATTATATTTATAATTTATTTTATAATTAATGAAATAATTATTATATTTTTTACACTAATTAAATTCTACTTACTTTTTTAATATTTACCATAATTTTGAAAATTTAATCGGACTATCCGATTAGATCATGAACCAGTCATATGTCCAGTTCAATCCACCTTAAAAATTGGTCTATCATTCACGTGATGTGAACCAGTTTGAATTGCCGCTTTAACAGACCAATCGTTGAACCGATTTTGGTTTAAAATCCGACGGGTTTAATTAATAACTTATTTAAATAGTTAAATAAAAAAATTTAAAATAAAATATTTAATTAGTTATTAATTAATAAAATACATTTAAATATAAAATATCTTAATTTTATAATAAACCTAAATTTTTATAATGATTTATATTAATTTAACTTAAATTAGTAATAATTTAATTAAATTTATAAGTTTATATATAAACTAAAATTATTTTTATCCACAAATTTATATAATTATATAATTATTCTATGATTATTCATCATTTAATTTTTATTTAAGTAATAATAATATTTTTTAAAAAGTGTTTTCACAACCTTAATACTTACGAAACGGCACCAGAGTAATCCTGGTCAAGTTCTTACAAGAGCCTCTCCTATTCTCCGTATTTTCTGCGTTGTCGAATTAGGGTTAGGGTTTCTGTTACTCGTCTCAATATCGCGTAAGCGCTCTGCAACTTAACTAGACCAGCCATCTAAGAGTACCAATGGCGGCCGCCGTGACAGCCCTAAACACTACCAATGCCAGGTCCTCTAAGACGGAGAGTTACGTCGACAACAAGCGCCGGGACGACATCCGACAGGCCAACATCCTCGCTGCCCGCGCCGTGGCTGATGCTGTGCGCACGAGCCTCGGTCCAAAGGGCATGGACAAGATGATTTCCTCAGCCAACGGGGAGGTCATCATTACCAACGACGGCGCCACCATCCTTAACAAGATGGAGGTTCTCCAGCCTGCCGCCAAAATGCTGGTCGACCTATCTCGATCCCAGGATGCCGCTGCTGGTGACGGCACCACTACCGTTGTCGTTCTTGCTGGCTCCCTTCTCCGTCGATCCCTCTCCCTCCTCTCCGCCGGCATACACCCTACTGTCATCTCCGACTCCCTTTACAAACTTTCCGTTCGTGCAGTTGACGTCCTGCACTCCATGGCTATCCCCCTAGAGCTCTCAGATCGCGATTCACTTGTCAAGTCCGCCGCTACCTCCTTAAATAGCAAGGTCGTGAGCCAGTACTCCTCCCTTCTTGCCCCTCTTGCAGTCGATGCCGTTCTTTCCGTTGTTGATCCTGAACATCCTGACCTCGTTGACCTCCGTGACATTAAGATCGTCAAGAAGCTAGGAGGCACTGTTGACGACACTGAGCTCATCCATGGCCTTGTCTTCGATAAGAAGGTAAGCCACACGGCCGGGTGCCCCACTCGCGTTGAGAACGCTAAGATTGCAGTAATCCAGTTCCAGATTTCGCCGCCAAAAACGGACATCGAGCAGAGCATCATCGTCTCTGACTACACCCAGATGGATCGGATCCTTCGAGAAGAGCGCAACTATATCCTGGGCATGGTAAAAAAGATTAAAGCCTCAGGATGCAATGTGCTTCTTATCCAGAAGAGTATCCTTAGAGATGCTGTCACTGATCTTTCACTGCACTACCTTGCGGAGGCCAAAATTCTGGTGGTGAAGGATGTCGAGAGGGATGAAATTGAATTCATAACAAAGACTCTCAACTGTCTCCCAATTGCTAACATAGAGCACTTTCGTGAGGAGAAGCTAGGTCATGCTGATTTAGTGGAAGAGGTTTTAATTGGTGATGGAAGTAAGATAATTAAGATTACAGGCATCAAGGATGTAGGAAGGACTACTACTGTGCTTGTGCGGGGTTCGAACCAGTTGATGATCGATGAGGCAGAAAGGAGTCTTCACGATGCACTTTGTGTGGTGAGGTATGGTGCACTGAATCTTCTTTTGTGTATTGCCTCCTTTTGATTAGTTTGGTTTCAAAGCTATTGCAAAAATCACATCTTATTTATTAAATAAATTTTAACTGGTGTTTTGTACTGCTCTTTTTTTTTGGAAATGTTCATTGTAACGGATGAGTGCATGGGGGTAATTATTGTTAGCGTTAGCTTTGATTTGTACTTTTGTATCGATATTTGTATTTTGTCCTCGTGGATTAAGTAATATTAATAAACCAAAGCTTCTGTTTAAGCTTGCGTGGTAGATATAGTTGGGGTGTTGCTACAGTTTGAGCTATGATGCTAGCCATGCGTTTGAACATTTCATGTTTCCTTACTCTTTACATATCTGTTAAACTGATTTGTTACACTTCAGTTGCCAGTCTATTTTATGGATGCAGACAACTCAAAATGTTAATTGAGGAGCCTTCTTTTCTTGATGTAATCTTAGCATTAATACATGGCCTGCTGGAGTTCTAAAGATTAATAGAGGTCCTATTTTATGAAGATTGTGTTTGATATGCGGGTAATTGATTCTTTTCATTGAAATGTACAAATTTTGATGCCTTATGTGTGGACAAATCTTATATTTCATTTCAACTTCTAAAAGCCCATTTTTCCTCATTAATAGTTTTTTTTTCAGGCACTATTATTTTGAATCAAAGTAGAGTGGATCTTGAGAAATAACTAGGCTTCCCACTATGATTTAGATGTCATTGGTTCGAAAAACTACAACAGCAACAAAAAAATGCAACAACAACATCAGGGGGGTCGGCTAAATGAATGATTTTCTTCCATTGTGTCCTATTAAGAGTTAAATTCTCATTTAAATCTAATAAAGGAATGTCATTTTTAATATTTTTTAACCAAGTTTTTTTTGTCTACCTTTATTTTTCTTAACATAAATTAAATCTAATACATTTATTTCCTAACAGGGTTATCGAAAAGCCGCCGTTTTATGTGACCAAACCATCTAAGGAGACTCTCTCTAATCTTATCTTTCATTGGAGCTACTCCAACCTTTTCACGTATATGCTTATTTCATATCTTATCTCTAAGAGTAAAGCTACTCATCCACCTGAGCATCCTGATCTTTGCAACACTTAATATTATGCTTCTCTTTTAATGGCCAATATTCTGAACCATAAATTTTTTTGCTAGTATCACCACCATCTTATAGAATTTCTCTTAAGTTTGAAAGGGACTTTTCTATCACACAACAAGTCCAATGCATTCCTTCACTTTAACCATCCAACTTGAATTCTACTAATAATATTCCCATCTATTTCACCATCATTCTGAACAATAGACCCAAAATATCTAAAACATATGCTCTTATTTTCCCCCACTAGATCTATTATTGCTAAAATTACACTCCATATATTCAGTTTTAAATATACTCAAATGAAAGCGTTTAGACTTTATGATTGACCTCCATAATTCAAGTTTACATTCAACTCGTCTAGCCTTATCAACGAGAAGAATATCATCAGCAAAAAGCATACATCAAGGTATAACCTCTTGTAGATTTCTAGTGAGAACATCCATGACTAAAGTAAAATAGATTTGGGCTTAAGGCTTTTCATTGATGTAGTCCAACTGAAAGAAGAAAATACTTGGTCAAACCACCTTGTGTTTAGCAAAATATCTCATCCACCTTTGTTAAATATTTTTTTCTAATAAAAGTACTTTTTAATTTTCATCCTTAATACACTTCACTTGAATGCTTTCTTAGATTCCTTATGTTCCTCATTATAACTTTTTGAATTATCATAATTTTTATATTTAAACCAATTTTTATAACAAATATTCTTATTTTTTATCTTTTCTTGGACATTTGGATTCCACCATCAACTATTTTTACTATTAGGAGATTTCCCACTAATACTCCAAGCACTTCTTTTATAATATTCTTAATATCACTAGCTATTTTTTTATATAATATTAATTTCCTCATGCACAAACAAAATCTTAAGATTTAGAGTCTTACTCTCAAAAATATTTTTCTAATACTCTTTAATTGTCCCCATATAATGCTAGAATAATATTTTATATTATTTTTTTAATTTTCTACCATTTCATTTTAAAGTCCAAAACTAATAGACGATGTTGGGTACATAAATTTTCACTCAGAATTACTTTACAATTTTTGCAATCTAAATAATCAATTTTTCTTATAAGAAAATAATTAATTTGAGTTTTACTATGTTTATTTTTATAAGTGATGAGATAGTCATCTCTTTCCTTAAATAAGGTATTAGCAATTACAAAATGATAAGCTAAAAAAAAATCTAATATGGTCTTACCATCTTCATTTGTTGCTCCAAATCCATTGTCATGATGAATGTTTTTAAAATCATATACTTATTTACCAACATGTACATTTAAATATCCTTAAAAAAAAAACTCTTTTTTCAAGAGGTACCTTTTATATAAATTCTTTTAAGTCATTCTAAAATTTTAATTTTAAACACTTATTCAAACCTACTTGAGAAGTATAAGCACTATAATATTAATAATCTTAGCATTAACAATAATCGTTAAACATATAATTCTATCCCCAATTCTATTAATTTTTACAATATTATTCTTCAAACTCTTATCTATAGTTACACCTAAATCATTTCTAGTATGACTCTTATCATAATATCATAGTTTAAATTCTAAACTATTAATTTCCTTAGCCTTCTTTTCAACTCATTTAGTTTCTTGAATGCATAAAATATTTACCTTCCTATGAATCATAATATCTATTAATTCCATTAATTTACTTGTAAGAGAACATATATTCCAAGTTCTTATCCTATGTTCGAAAAACTACAATTGGTTCTTTTAATGCATTTATAAGGTTGTGCACATTAATCACTTCACAACTTGCATTGGCAAGAAGCTTTATGCATTTAAGCATTGTATTTTTTTTGATATAGCTTGTTGATCTTCCTTGGCTTATCAATTGGTAGAGTTGGAGGGTTCGTCTGTTGCAGCACTTAATTTCTTTCTAAATTTTAACAAATGTCATCATACGCATGCTATCATGAATTTGGGGGAGTTTTGTTAATTTGTAGTGTTAGTTTCTATGAAGCATGGGTAATATAAGCTTGAATGCTTATTGTACTAATGAAACATTTTGGTCCACTGACACCACTAACCTCCAGTGGCTCAAATCCAACCTATCTATTTACTCATTAAATCATATAAACTTCCCCCACCTAGTTCTATCCCTTTCAACTCCAAAGCTTTACCTTGCTGATTCATATAATATTTTAGGCACATAAGAAAAAAATAACGAGCTATATATTATATCCAAAAATAATATAAGTGATCTAAAAGCTTGAATTAAGTTAGAGGCGCTAAAATTGAAAATAATTGGATTTTGATTAAGGAATTCAGCCAAAGTCTTTCTATTTATTTTTATTTATTCTTTAATCCTTTTGCTAATTTTAAGTGTTTATAAGTCCTATAAATGCCAAGTTATACCAATCAATTATTTGTAAAAGCAACTATACGTCTACACCCCCCTGTCATATCCATACCATGCGCTTTAGCTGTCATTGCTCATTTGAACTCCTAATACATAAACTATATCAACTTATCTTTATTGTCAAAACAATAAAACATTGGCTGTTTTCCTTCTTGGAGAACTGCATTAGTAGTGGGTAGCCTTTGGAATCAACGATAGTCCATGCTGACAACAGAATTACAAGCATTTTTAGCTAGAAAAAGCACACAATGCTTGAAACAAAGCATAAGCAAGTAACAACAACAAACAAACAAGGGAAAAGTAGTAGTAGACACACAATGCAACATTGACAATACGCATGGCAACAAGTAGAATGATGACAGGTGCTATTGTTTCTTTAGAAGAGCTTGCGACTATCTCTAGCTTACCAAAAAACATTTGAGTGCTAGAGGGCTTCAACTTGAGAGGAAGTTAAAATGCAAAAGAAAGAATTTTGGGAGAAATTTTCAATTGAAATTATTGCAAGATTCATGCATTTGAAAGACATTCAAATGAAGGAATGATTAATCCACTTTTAAATAAACTTCCAAAAGAAAACCTGTTTACATATAATAAATCATGTAACTTCCAAAGTAATAGTTAATTTTCGTAGAAATGATCCAAGTTCTAGATTTAAAATTTAAAGAAAAGCTTATCCAAACAAGTTTTAAAAATATTAAGCCCTTCCATATTATGCTATAATATGAAATTTAATTTGGTAACTCAAATTTTTGGGTCTTGATCTCTCTCACGATGTTTGATTGACAATCCAAGCGGGCCTATGGACTACAGATGACAATCTTTTTTACTACAATAATTTTGTTTGAGAATTGCCACTACGATCAACATTTATCAATAAATTATTTGGTCCAGAATAAACTAATATGATCTTGTGATCCTCTTTAGTGATCTGATATCCAACTTATGAGGTTTCTTTTTCATGTCGTCTTCATTAACATGGATGTTCATATAAACTATTTAATCCCTTGATCAATGGACCCTCTTTTAGGAGGATTTCACTTTAGTGAAATTAAAGCTCTAAATAAGGGAGTATTGCCTATTCAACATCTTTGGTGTATCAATTTTTGCTTGGTAATTGCTCCTATATGCCAATTCATAATATTTTTTTTGTACTTAGTGGTGGTGGTTTTTGATAGGAAGCACTTGAAGATTTCAAGTAAATCCTATCAATTTCAGAAAATCAGTGAGAAACTCTTTCAAACTCCAAAAGAAAATTAGAAAAACAATAATTTTATTGCAAGAATCAAATAGATCAAAAGAAATCAACAAGATACAAGTGATCCTTTATTCAAGAGGAGGATTGATCTCTCCTAATCTCTAGACGAATCTAGAGCCCAAAAAACCTAAACCTAAGAGGTCCCAATGCCCTAACCTTAGGAAATCAAGATATTTAATGCATACAATTGAAAAAGGAAATCTCTAAATAGTCCCTACATTCAAATTTCCCTCCTAACTCCCTATAAAATCC